TTAGGCGGTTCTCTCAGTGGAACACAACTCTCAGCTTTAAGCTTGTTTGGCGGTTATTCTCTAATGGAGGGTCTCTTTGGGTTGACTGGCACAGGTTTCACAATCTAAAGGTTTCTGGAAGCGACAATATCTCTACCTTCTGGACCATAAAAGAAAAGGCTAATGATTCTTGGAATTGGAAGTGTCTTCTTCGGCTTAGACCATTAGCAGAGCGGTTTCTTCGGTGTGACATTGGCAATGGGCTTTCTGCTAGCTTCTGGAGAGACAATTGGACCCCTTTCGGTCCTTTAATAAAGCACATTGGCGATGGAGGCCCGTTAAGGTTGCGTATTCCTCTTGATGCTACTGTTTCTGTGGCAGCTCAAGGAAATGTTTGGGACCTGCCCATGACACGCTCTTCTCAGGTTCATAGTCTCCATAACCACCTAAATACTATCTCGCTGCCTCTGCGTCCGCTCGTTGAGGATGTTTATGGCTGGTATGTGAATGATGTGGATTGCAATAGTTTCTCTTCCTCGAAGACTTGGCAGGTTATTAGACAACGTGAAGAGAAGAAAGGGTGGGCTGCTGCAATCTGGTTTAAAGGCTCTATTCCTAGAAACGCTTTCAACATGTGGACCACTCATCTTGATAGACTGCCCACACGGGCGAGGCTGCAGGCATGGGGGCTGCCTGTCTCGCCTCTATGCTGCTTGTGTTCTGCTGAGACAGAAACAAGGGATCATTTAATGCTTCGCTGCGATTTCAGCACCGCTATTTGGAATTTAGTTCAGTCGAGACTTAGGCTGCACTCCTTACGTTTTTTGGACTGGGCTGAGCTGTTATCTTGGATCAGAAGGACAAGTCCTACTGCTCCTTCTACATTGAGGAAGCTGATTACTCAAGCCGTTGTTTACGCAACCTGGAAGCAGAGGAATAACATGTTGCACAATTCGAATCACATTGCACCTGCTGCGGCCTTCATGATCATCGATAGGGAAGTCATCAACTCTATAAATGCTCGGAGGCACCGACGAAAGTTCCGTAATCTTATGAGCCTATGGCTCATATAATGCTCCTACTTTGAAGATCTGTTTCTTCTTTGTTTACTTCCTTGTTTTTTATCCTAATTTTTGCCAAGGAACTAAACCTTAGGTATTGCACATGTAATTCCAAACCTTTTCATTTTATATGATATTTACCCACTTAGCAAAAAAAAAAAAAAACCCTTATAAAACCCTTTAAAAAAATTTAAAAACCATTGTAAAATCCTTAAAACCTCCTTATAGAAATAACATCATAAATCTTTTAAAGCCTTGTAAAACCCTTATAAAACACTTGTATTAACCTATAAAAACTCTTGTAAAAACCTTTTAACCTACAAAAACCCTTGTAAAACCCTTTAAAACACTTTAAAACCTCTTGTAAAACCCTTATAAAAATCTTGTAAAAACGTATTAACCTATAAAAACCCTTGTAAAACCCTTTATAACACTTTGAAACAAGCTGGATATAAATTGCAATAGTTAACAATATTCTTCATCTAATAAACTGTTCCATAAACACATTCGTTATCACTGTTTTACAAAATAACATACTGGTTTAAAAAGATAACTACAATAAGAAAGGAACTTATGTTAACTACATTCTTTCACACTTCCTTTTTCCTGATGTAGATATCCCATTCTTGCTGCAAAATAAATTAATAAAAAAGCAATAAGAAACGATTCAACATAAAAAAATTGTTTTCGCATTTATTTTGAAAAACTGTTTTAAACTAACCTTTATTACGCTGAAAAGTCTTGTTGCCAGATACTTCTGTTCGGCGCTAGCTCCATGTTGTTTGTCTGGATGTAAAGCAAGCAGTGCTTTACGTTTTGCTAAACCTATCTCATTGTCATTGTTTACCAAATTGAAGTGATGAACAATCTCCCATGAACTATTGGACCAAATAATCTGTAATGTATAATAAATTTCGTTAGTTTTTGTAGTTATGAGAAAAATAACAAATTATTATAAGATTACCTGGTGAAGTGATGACATCATAAAAATGAAGTTCTTGTTTTTAGCCCAGAGTATGACCCTATCATCAATTTCCTTTTGTTCTATCTCACTTAGTTTTCGATCTTGGACAGTAAATGACACCATGAAAATATTAGATGTTCCATTTTATTATTAAAAAAAAACATCATTTTTAACAAAAAAAAATGAGAGTTGTATTGGCATGAGAGAAAGCATTGCTGCCCTGCCGTCTCTCTTTTTTCTTTATCCCCTTTTT